GGGGAGATGGGGTTGTATCTGGAGGAACTAAATTTGCAAGGAGACTAGAAACGTACTAACTGACTTTGGTGCAGGAAAATGTTCATATTCACCTGTCTTGTGCAGAAAGCTTTGATGTACAACTCCAGAGCTGTTGTCAAGTTTGCTTTGGTTGCACAGTGTCAATTCTATTGAGAGCTTTGGGCTTCTTATTTGAAAGGGCAATGATAACTGACATTCTAACAAATTATTTAACCCGTAATTTTGGAATGAAAAATTGAAGAGAGATGTGCCATGTTATTTCTAACTTGACTGCACACCTTCAAAGAGCCGTGCATGTAGCAAATTATACTTTGCACTTTATGCAGCAACATGTACTCTACAGTGAACAAAGCTTAACAATAAAGAGAATGTATCAACTGTGGTTCTCTTCTCTCTGTGTATCACGGCAAATACCTCCACAAGATCCCTACCACTCCTTTTGCAACTCTAATGCCACTTACTAATTGTGATCTCTGAACATATGCTCTGCACAAGCTATTGTAATGTCTCCTCATAGCACTTATCACTATAAAGAAATAAAACAATCCTAACTCCATTAAAAGCATATATTTGGCATAGCAGTCCCTGTCAGGGTCTTGCAGATTTAATGTATTCAGAGTTTTAATCTTTTGTCACGCAACACCCTGGCTATTTTGTTAAATTGTTTGGTTTTGTCATATGGCTTGTATTGAAATGGACAATATTGTTCAACTTGAAAAGAGAGCACTGGCCCATGCTCTCAACGCTCCAGAAGACAGCCGTCCAAAGAGGAAGTTTTCATGGCGGAAGCAGCGCTCGTCGACCTCATCAGGGAGGAAGACAGGTCTAAACAAAGCGCTGAAGAGTGGCCACTCTAAGCCTTTCATTGCACCCAATGGGAACGGAGTGAGTCGCGACACTGAGGCCTTGATAGGAAGCCAGAGATCTGACATTGAAATGAAAGAGGTGCTGATGACAGCAGAGGTAAGCTGATAGCCGCGCACTGCTGGGATGCATGGGCCGTCTTTCAATGATCATCCTTCATTGTGACACTTCTTAGCTCATGGCATGAGTTTTACAAATTATGATTCATAACAAATAAGAACACGTAGATTTAATAAACATTTCCTTATGGCACTGCATGTGGTCACCCTCTTCTCTTCATTCTATGCTGCATGGATGTCTGTGCCTTATTTCAGACCAGCATGGCTGTTGTGTCTTTCATTTTAAACCTTCCTGTTGCCTAAAATGTATTGCCTTGTTGACTGCTTTTGCCTCACTGTTATTCGTTGCTGCTGGTAATTTTGTCAGCTTTAAGTATACAGTGCATATTTCTTGGATAATCAGAGATGTGTTTACTTATTGCATTCAAAGCTCATTTTTATGAGATGAATGATGCTTTCCTTAATTCGACAGCTTTTTGTTATATTAATCATCTTTAATGTTTTGTATCCATCTGAGAGAACAAAATACAATAAATGTTCACTTAGTTGTACACTATACTTGCTCCTTCATCAGCATTAAAGAGTCCTTTTATCAGAGAAAAAAATGTGGGTAGCGAACAATGCCGGAATTCATGCTAGCATTGTAAAGCTAAAAATGTAAAAGCTTGATGCTACAGGCTATTGACATGCCTTGGTTAAGACCCGGCCACCCCATTTTTTAATGGTTTTAAGCTATGATTTGAAATCCACTTATTTGCACAGCTGATTTTCTCTTATTTTATAAAGATGTATCATTTGTAATAAAGTTCCAAGATGACTACATAAAAGTAATGTAATAGGAAAGTAACATTGCACGTGTTATTTCAGTTGCATATTCTTTGTATTGCTCGACACAGTCTCATTTCAATTAAATGTTTTATATTTGACTACTTGTATCTATAATGGTAATGGAAAAATCTAAGGTACACCTGCTACCTACATTTGTTTTCAGTTTCTGCATTTCCTTGGTTTGGTTTAATTAGTTTAATTTTTTCTTTCTTTTTCCGGAACTGTTTTTTGGATGTATTTTTCAAAAAATCTTCTTTGGTTCATTTACAATCCTTCTGTAATTTTAACATGAATGAAAGTTTGCTTATAGGGGTGAATTTAATTCAACTGTATTGTTCCTTCCTCAAAATGAAACATGATTTCCATGCATGTGATCATCTTTCAAAGAAGTCACTCTCATGATTTAGACCAGACCATTCACATTTTTAATGGTTGATGATATGTATTTTGTCAGAAGACAGTTATGTTTCATTTGTACTATTAGATTTTGTAAAGAAAAAAAATGCTTCTTTGTAACCACATGAGCATTGTTAATTATCAAGTTTAACAAGTTCTCTAATTTTACCTGACGTGTGCTATGCTTTTTTTAATGCTGTCTGTGAGTGCTGTGACTCAAAACCAATTTAGGTACTAACACAACTTATCATGATTATGGTATTTCACTGTAGTTAAATAGATAGATTACTGCTGTTAAAGCACGTAGGTTCATGTACTATAGGCAAATATTATTACATATTATCCTCTCTTTTTTTAATGCTAAAGGCCCCTCTATTTGCAGAGCTGTTATTGATTTGCTTATCTTGTGGAGAAACTGAAATAAACTTCATATTTGTTCAAATAAAATGTATATAGTGCCTTTATTTGGAGGCTATACTTATGTCATATATATATATATATATATACAGAGAGAGAGAGAGAGAGAGAGAGAGAGAGAGAGAGATAGATAGATAGATAGATAGATAGATAGATAGATACATATAGATATGGGTATAATATATCTATCTATCTATCTATCTATTTATCTATCTATCTATCTATCTATCTATCTATCTATATATATATATATATATATATATATATATATATATAATATATATATATATATAAACATGTCGACATGTTTTGAGTGCTAAATTTAGTTGCGTAGATCTTTATAAATTATTCCGTTGCTTTTCTTCGCTAGTTTTTCATATAGGCCTTCTCAGCTATTGCAGTGTCTTTCCGTTGAACTTAAACAATTGAAATAATAATTATGTGTGCATTTTTTTGTGTGTGGGGGGTTCTCCTTTGTTCTGAAATTACTTCAATATATACCTTTTCTGAAATAGACTTCTTTTTCCTTTAAAGATAAAGGTTGGGGGGGGGGGGGAGTATACAGTTTTCATTTTTTGTTATTATTAATTATCAACGTTTCTCTTTGCTAATGTATTATCACTGCTTAGAAGAGAAAGGGAGTGACTCCTAAGATTACTAAATTCACCTTTTCCTTTGAGCCACATATGAATTGTTTCTTTTCTTTTATACTCAGCTTGTGTTTCTGAGTGTTCGTTTGTCTTTGGACTTTTTGTAGATTCTTTACTATATTGTTACCCTTCGCTTTGTCTCTGTCTGTCTGTCTGTCTGTTTGTCTGTCCGTCTGCATCTCTCTCTCTCTCTCTCTCTCTCTCTCTCTCTCTCTCTCTCTCTCTCTCTCTCTCTCTCTTCCCACACATCCCCACTCTCTCTCTCTCCTTCTTCTCCCCCCCCCCTCTGTCTCTCTCCTTCTCCTCCCCCCCCCTTTCTCTCTAAAATGAAGGGGGGGACCCCCCTTCTCTTTCACTCATCCCCCATGGGTGATTGGCGGGTTCTCTGTTGTGGTTTGCTTCATCTTTCCTATCAAACATCTATCGTCCTTATCTCTCCTCGTTCTTCTTTTGTGTTTGTTACTCTATTGTAACACCTCTAATCTTCGGCATTTAATCACCTTATTGTGTTGCAAGTTCCGTAAAACACTTACTAAAACTAAACTCATCCCCCAAGTTCTGTCCGCTAAAAGTACATGTAGTTGGGAACTTTTCTTAAGTCTGCTACAAGCACAATACTATTTCCAAACTGCTGTGCTTGCTCTTTTTATATGGTGCTACCATTCTGCTTTCTTCTTACCTTAATAAACATCTACATAATTTATGTATTCCATCACTACGAACACTTCTCTTTTCTTTAAATAATTTTTCTTTTCAACCTTGACTTTTCGGTCCTTATTCACATTTTCTTTCATTCTCTAAGGTTTTTTTTCCCTTCAGGTTTTCAACTCTTAAATTTTCTTCTTTTGAGGCTTGCCGATTCTGGTGACAGTCTTAAAAAATTTGGCAACTGTACAATAAGATTGGGGTTTTTTTCCTTATATATTTTCCCCTGGTTTTTTTTTTTTTTTTGCTTCTTTTTTCCCCCAAAGAATTAAATGTGCTGTGTGCCCTTACCCATAATAATACATAAGAAAAGTGTTTTTTTCGTCTATATTCCTTTGTCATTTGTAACTTTATTCCCTTTTCTCTACCGCTCCTGGTACTTTTTGTTTTTTATTTGTTTACCAGAAGATTTGTGACCATGTCAGATGCAACGGAAAATGTTGTTTTATTTAAAATATGTCAGAGTGTTCCTGAAAAAGCATCAATATTTTGAAATTTTCACATTTGTAATACATTTTAAGCCTTTCAAACTCCCTTGAAAACAGAACAGACTCTAACAAAGATTTCAATAATTGAAAGGATTCCCAGGCCTAAGCTTGCACTGGGTCGCCCTAGGGATATAATTGTCATTTGGCTTGAGATGCTCAACAATCTTTGCCTGTCTTTAAAAAAAGACTTTTAACATGAATGTCATAAAGAAATTTGTTATTGACAAAGCATAGTTTTATTTGTCCTTTTTTGTTTTTATTCTAGCTTTTCCTTGTGAATACTCATTTTCTGCTCAAGTAATTTCACTCTCTCATACTGAACTTTAACTTAAAGATGAAAATTGTTCCTCTATTTCCAGAACTCTGTTCCTCATTCCCTCTCTTCTACTGTCTGTATTTTTCCAAGTCTTTCTTATATACTGTACTGTTTCATAGCTTTGTAGCTTTAGAGGTACAGAGCTCTGTCTGTCATAGACGCCAAAAGTTCTTCAGTAAGCCTTTGTGTATCACTCCTTTGTAGTCAATGTTCTCATGACAGGTTTGTGTATCTCCACATGTTTTTCATTTCGGAGAGTATTTTTGTGCCTCTTATGTTGATATTTGTTTTTTTGTTTTTTTTATTCATTTGTGCTGAAATCAGGATCTGCAGCATGCATCCATGTCTCTGGTGGAGGCGATGGATGCTGGAGTCAAGGACATGCTGGAGTACAAAGATGAAGGCTACATCGAGCTGGTGCTAAAACTTCTCGCTCGGATTTGTGATGGCCAGCACGATGGACTACAGGTCAGATAGACTTCTTTGCGTGCTGCTCTTCTGCAGTTTATCTTTACCATTGCTTTATTATGTTCCATTGAAGTACAAAGGCCAGGTTGAATTAAGAAAACTTCTCTGAAATAGATACATTTGACCTTCCTTTTTGTCCTCGAACCTTGAAAACATTGTATGGTCGATTCTAAGCACGCAAGGGATCAGAAGGACAAAGATATCAATTTGTGAGCTCCGACCTGAGGTATTATAATAAATTATAAAGAAAATACTCAGTTGAAATATTTGCAATTACTTACCTGTATTACCTGTCCTGGGCAACAACGTCATTGCACACCGGACAGGTCCATAAGTGCTCAGTTCCCCCCAGCCCCAAAGCCTGCAAGGTATCCATACTGATTGTTCCGGTGGCTGTCTGATTATGGCGATGTCTTTCCTTTCCAGATAATTACTTATTATCTTCTAACTCTGCATGAAAAAGATTCTTTCCTAACAACATGTGAAAAGAGAAACTGAACATGCTGCTTTAAACTTGTTGTATATATGGAAGATTGTTCCATGTTAGCACATAGTCAATTTTGTTACCCATTTTTTCAACATCACAAACATCCCTGTAACTCGGTTCATATTTAGCTTTTTTGCATATAAGAATACCAAACTGAGGAGAAATGAATGATCCTGGCAATAAACACATACCTCTATGATAGACAAGTTGGATTTGCTGGGTTTTGTAAATTTTTGTAGTAATAGTAAATTTGTGAACCACAAAGCCAATTTGTGCACCAGCTGAACTGGCTTGCCATAAACTAAGAGTTAATATCTCTGTGCAGAAAATTATTCCTATAATGCAAAAACTTCTGCTTGTTTTTATGTTCTGTTATTACTTTTGTATTTCTCAGAACTACTTAAGGGAACAGCCGGACAACGTGAAGTCCTTCAGCATTGTGGCAGAAACAGCTCAATTCTTGAATGTTGTCTATACCACGGTCAACAACACCACCATAGATTTGGTCATTCAGCTTTTCAGCACACTCAATGAGTTTTGCTCTGTGAGTATTTCTCTGTGTTGTTAGTTCTTTCCAAGTATTTAGTTTGTTCTTTCTAGCTTATTGTAATTCCTCACAGTTACATTATTCCTTGAAAAGTTTTGACTTAGGTGCATAGATAAGGTTACCCCACACCCAATCCCCCCTCTCAACAAACACTAACATGCACACAAGCACACACACACTCCTTATAATTTTTCTCATAATGGTAGCCTATATTTTACCAATGCATTCCCAATCAAAGTTTTTTGGGGGTTTTTTTGGTTCTTTTTAAGAAGGTGAGGAGTGTTCAAACAAAAGTTTTGTTCTAGTGTCAAGTTCAGCATTTAATATATTTAGAATTTTTGTTCAAAGTTTTCTTTTAGATGAGATGTGCCTTCCCTCAATCACATTTCATGTTTTAAATATACTAATTATGTTTGAATGTTGATATTCAAATCCCAATATTTCATCACAGGGAAACCAGGAGAATCGTGTTGTGGTCTATGACATGAAAGTCATTGACTACATCAACTTTATTCTGAGGTCTGGAGAAATAGGGGACTGTAACATTGAGAAGGTCAGTGTTTGTTTGTTACGATGACATTATATTTGGTAGTTTCTTTGTTTGCATTTGTATTGTTATTGGGTTTTTTCACATGAAATACAGAAGATTTCTGCAGTTCCACAGGAGTGGGCAAATGATAATCAAATTTGACAACTTTTTAAAGGAAACTTTTCCTGAGTAACATTCCTGAAAGCCTTCATTTTGTTTACGATTTATCTTTTTGGCACATGGAAAAATAGATGTTTATTATTGAAATTTGATACAACCCAGTAAACTTTTGCTGTGGGTGGTGGGCAGGTGCTCTGGTGTGGTTTGCTTCTTCTTTCCTAAGAAACATCTATTGTTTTTATCTCACCTCCTTCTTTTTTGTGTTTGTTACTCTCTTGTAACTCCTCTAAACTTCTAGTGCTCTTATGACCTTATGCAGTTATGAGCACCGTAAAACCCCTACGAAAACTAAAGTTAGGGGGCTCTCGTGGCCTAGAGGTTAAGGTGTTGGCCTCTCATTCAAAGGTCCCGGGTTCGATTCCGGGTAGCGACCAAAAAATTTTCTTCTCTAAAATTGTCTCCTTTCACATCCTTTCCTGATCTCTAACAATGTTCTGTTGTCTGCTTTCATTTCCACTTTCTGCCCCCACCCCCTCACCTCCTTTGCCCCCTCCTCTGGGCTCCTGACTCTTTCTGCAGCCTTTCTACTGCTACTCCTTGGCTCCTCCTAACTGCTGTCTTTCTGCCACACCCCTGATCTTCTGGTAGGAAAGATCTACACCTAGCCTTCTCGGACAAGGGCGAAAAATCTCGGAGGGCCCATGTGCAAGTTGCGCACGTTAAAGATCCCTTGGTGGTCTAAAATCGATAAGAGTAGGCTTCGGCCGCCACCCGGGCAAAATTCAAAATTTCCTACCAACGAAAAAGTGTTAGGTGTGTCCCGCGCGCTCATATGACCTTATGCAGTTGCGAGCGCCGTAAAACCCTATACTAAACAAACAAACAACAAACTAAAGTTACTAAAACTTTTGCTAAAAAGATAAAAAGATAGATCTCAGTTCTGTCCAATGATGGGTTTCCTCTCCTATCTTTGGGTTCTCTCCAGCTGTTGGCTATGGGTCATTTATTGGGCTGTAAACCTGTCCTGTCATACTATTTTTTTTAAAATGTTTTTGGTGGGGGTAGTGTTCTACCAAATTTTCTTGTAAGGTCGTCACCAGGAATAATGTCAATGACTAATCATGAGTATTGAGTCTCTAGAGGTTGAGAACTCCTAGGGTAGATAATGCAGCAGAGTTTTCCTAGTCTGAGTTTTCCACTTGATTCTGGCCAGGTTGTGGAGCTTCAGCAGACCATCGGCTCTCTCATCATGTCTCTCACAGAGGAAAACGGCCCTGTGGCTTCGCAAGTGGCAAAGGTAAGTTACTGAGGAGTACAAAGTGGGGAAAAGTATGTGAATTAAGGAGTGAAAGTAGCTGAATCTCAATAGCAATATTGTCTCATAGGACCTAGTATGTCACTGGGAAGAGCACACATCTTATGAGTGTCATGTGCAGGAAATAATGTTCATATTGAAGACACATTTTAAATAGTAGTTTGATACTGACAAAGACAATGTGAGGAATGTGCTGGAAAGAATGTAACACACAATGTGGCCATGACTCTTCTATACTCAGTAGCTAGTTCTTTGAATATAGTTCAAATAGGTTCTGTGGGTTGTTTGTATAGGTAATCATGAAAAAGATGAATGACTCAATACCTAGAACCTAGATATCTGGAGGTGTCATTTCTGGTTCTGAGGTTGATATGCAATGACCTGCCATTGCTTCTGGTTGCTAGCTGCCGTCATACACTCTGTCACACTTAGCCCAGTCCTTGCCTTGATGCTATCTGTCTATGTTATGCATCGTCCACCCTTATCTTTGTGCCCCACATCTTGCCTTTGATCATTTTCTTCATAATGATTTGATAGCTTTTTATTTGATCAACATATAGTATTTTTTCTGTTTTTCGACTTTCAGTGACTTAATGGATTATCCTGTTACAAAATTATGACCGTTTTCATATGTACCTTTGGCATTCAGGAGGTGAAAGATGCTCTGGATAAGGAAGCTGTTTATCGCTGCATGACCTCATGCTATGAGTGGCACCAGTCAGAGAAGAGAGACAGCTCCAGCACTCTGGGCCTGTCCGGAGGATACCTGCAGTCTGCCAAGTCGATCGCAGCGTTTGGAGGGTCGCTCATCCAAGGTGTTGTGGTAAGTGTTGCTTGTGTTTCTTTTCTTCCCTGGTTTGATGAGGTTTGCTTCATGTCACGAGAGTTACCAGTGTAAATGGAGCTGACACTGACAGTGGTAAAGGGTGCAAGCCAACTACTCTGTGTAAGACTCCGTCATATGTCACTTTACGAAATGGCGTATGGCAGAGTCTTACTCTAAGTAATCAAATTGAAGTTGTAGAGTTAGGTCAGATTGACAATTGAGAAACGTGTGTTGAGGCCTATTTGGTACTGATAGGTGTTTATTCATCTTTCTGTGTACGATAAATATTTTAATTTTCTGAAATGGATATATCAAGCTTGTTGTGTCAGTATTTTTCCCCACAAAATAACACGGTTGACTCACAAGAAAAAGGTCTCTGAGCATTTTTTGCTTTTCATCCGGAAATGAACAGGAAAAAAAACAACTTAGGATCTATATACTATACCCATATTGATTGAATTGATATTATTCTATGTAACAAATTACAATTTGAATAAGTGGAAATGAAAACTTATGTACCAGGTTTGTTGTAGTTTTCAAAAACAATCATGTGTTAACTTACCTGTAAGATCTCTGTAATGATTTCCATCGATTTACATTTTTTTTTTTATTTTGTATTTTCAGAAAGGAAAAAAGAAGAGTGTCCTGAGGGAGAGTGTCATTGAAGTTGGATTTTCTTTCTTTCTCATACTGGCTCGAATGATGGACATTGATCCTCATTTACATGATAGTACGTTGCTATTGCTGTTTGGTTTTATGGTGTTTGTATTTTGCAGTTGAATTTGTATTCTATACAACTTTTTTAACTTTATATTTTTCTATGTGCTTCTTTGAAAAAGTATGAGGGGTTGGGGTAGGGAAAGATGCATATTTGTATTACATGAAGCTGTCATAACTACTTTTAGAGGTTCCAAATTTTGCATTATCAATTTCTTTTGTACCTATTCTACTCATATTTCATACTCATGTCTCAAGACTTATATATACCGTTAAGAGTACATGAAATATTATGCTGTGTCAGGGCACATTAGATAATTGATGGAAACACGGAGAGAAACACTTTTATATAACCTCTTCCCTGTTGTGTAGACGTACACACTTGCTTGTGTTCTTCAAAACTTGTTCTCTGCCATTTTTATATTGGTTTATAGGGAAAGTTTTAGGAGATAAAATAATGACTTGAGCCGTTGTTTTCTTTTTTAAACACAGGGAAAGCTATGATGGCTTTGTTTGAATGTCTCTTGACTGAATATTTTCTCTTGTCTGTAAAACATAGGTGAAAACATCTCAGCAATGAAGGGGTTAAAATGTCTGGTAATACAGAACTGAATGTACTTCTCTGACTGGGCACTTTGTGTTTGGCTTCCATCATTTTTCTGAATCTGAGTATTGTATATTTAATATATTATCAAATAATTTTTATTCCTCTCTGTTTTTAAAAAGCCCTCAAGTTGAGTCCTGAAAATGTGAAGGCCTTTGAGTACTACAGAAAAAACTGCTCTTCAATTGAGATCGTGAAGGAAGGGATCTTGCAGAAAGTCAATTTCAGGGTCAAAAACAAGGTAAATTTTACAGTATTTGCACTTAGGTTGGAGATGAGATAATTTTTCTGGGAAATAAATGTCATACTTTGGCTTGAAAGATTGAAGGATAAAATGAAAAATATGCAAACTTCACACATTTTTCATGGATACTCCATTTTTGTGAGTGGTTCTGGGGACGGGGGGGGTCTTTTAGTTGATATTTATTCTTTTTACATGCTTTCTTTCTCTCTTCAAATGATATACCTTTAAAGTTCATTTTGTTATGAATCATTGTCTGGTTATTAATTCTGAAAACCCCGGTTGTCTTACAATGGCAACATTTTGACAATATCCCGTTCATTCCTTGCAGAGTGTGTTGAGAGAGGAAGTGAAGGAAAAGCTGAAATGGAATGTTGACCGCACCTCACCTAGTAATAAAATCCGGGACCTCATGGACTGGACGCGAGACATCATGAGAGACATCTCCTATCAGCGCATGATTCTGGACCATCCAATTTCAAAGTTTTTCACCAAAGGATGGTGTGTATAGCAGCTCTGAGTTATTGTTATCTTTGTTAAACAGGCAGCCATTGGATTGGTGCCCTTTGTCTCATACCATGTTGTACAAGGTGAAGTCTTTTTGACTAATTCCCTGTCGCTATGTGAGATGATGAGAAGAAGTTGAAGGCTGGAGTCCTGCAGGGTGGGTCTTTCAAAAGAAGATGAAGTTTCATTGGGGATGATGCAGAGGTTTCGTGAAGTGCAAGCTTTTAACAATGTTGTGGTCAAAGTATGATGCGAATTAAATTGTTTGGTTTCTAAAGGATATAATATATATGATATGCCCTCATGATGTACATAATTTATTTGAATAAAAATGATTTTCTTGATTAAGAGGACAGGTGTCTCCTTAGTTTGCCCTGATAGAATCATGTGTAGTCATTTTTACATTAATTGAAATGAAAGCAACAAGTGCTTAACACTTTGCCATCAGAAGGTTCATACAGTAAAAACCCTTGCCATCTCAAGCATTTTCGGGGAAATCCAAATAAACTGGATGGTAAACATGGCCGATCGGCGTTTTGTGATGGGAACGAAAGTTTGACGTTCATGCCGATCAGTGAGATGAGACGGCAAAGTGTTAATGTTGATGAAACCTATTTGAATGTTCTCACAATTTCTTGTTAATAATTTTCTTAGCATTTTCATCCTGTTGTATGTTTTTTACTGACTCATCTGGAATACTCAAACTATTACTGAATTACCATTGTCTCTGGCATTTTATTTTCTATCTTTCCAAAAGAAAATAATAAGGTACACAAAATCACTGTGTCTATCATGCCACTCCTATTTGAGACTCCACAAGTAGGTCCTACTTCTTTACTTCCCTCAGTTGTTTCTGTCTACATTAACTTTTCCCAGCACTATGCACTAAATGACCATTATTGTGTCAATGTGCTTCTCTTTACTCAAACAAACATTCCAATTTTGGCTCCAGGTTGCTGTGGAACTACGGCACAATCATCCTGAGCCTGGCCATTAACATCATCATGCTGGTCACGTGGGATGCCAAAGCCTCCCTGGAAGACTGCGACACCAACCTGCTGGAGGACAGCTTTGACAACGCTTCAAAAGTGTGCCCAGAGCTCTATGAGTAAGCCTCCTTGTTGAGTGCTATGTCACTTTATATAATTCCTTCACAGCTTTGATATCCCAGAAAGGGTATGCCTGCAGCTCTATGAGTAAGCATCCTTGTTGATGTTTTTATACATTTGCCTCTGACTTGTCTGTTGATTTATTTTCTTCTCATCTTGAGAGGAGAAGAGGTACTAATAAGGGCTATTTCCCCATTATTTCTTGGGGGGGGGGGGGGGGGAGAATTGGGTTAAAGGCGGACTACCATTTGGAAGGGTTTTTTTTCTTCATGTGGTATATATATTGTTATTGTTTTGTTACGGTAAGTTTTGCATTAGTTTTAAGATTAAAATAATGTTTTGAGTGAGATGGTTATGTTTTTTGCTTTTCTAAAAATTTAATATTGGAAGCATTCTTTACCATCGGTTTCAATTTGATGCTGCTAATTCAATAATGAAGTGTATCAGTGGTGTTACAGGAAGCTTATGGGCAGGAACAATTATTATTGAATGACTGATCAAACTTTCCTTTGTTTTCAGTTCAATCCCTCAAATCAAGAGTCTGTCACTGGAAGAGTACACGATCACTTTGTGGGTCCTCGGGGGAGTGCACAACTTGTTCTCCTTTTTTGTGCTCATCAGCTACTTCCTCTCCTACCACCCGAGGCTTCCCAATATTTCAGACATCAAGTATTGGATGTTGTAAGTTAATCAGTTAGTCTTTTAAAATTATTTTTTTTTAGGGTTTATTGTTTGATGTAGCCCTGAACATGTCAGTAGTCCAGCACATGTCATCAGCAAAGGAAGCCAGCACAGTTGGTTGCCACAATAAGGCTTAGGATAGAAAAGTGTCTATTTATTTGTTGTTGTATATCCCCACTGAAGGCTCTCACAAGTTCACCATAACTCCCTTGGCCAGTCAGTTCATCTCAGGTTATCTATTGGTCTCAGAGAAACATTATCGAGTTTTGTATGCTGTAAGGCGTGTTTGCGTATTCCATTTCTGCCAATTACCAAGACCAATTTCCTAAGGAGCCAAATCCTCTCTGTCTTGAGGCCTGGAATCAAATTCTCAGCTGTTTTGTATTGCAAGTCTTTTGCCTGTGATCGTGTATTCTGTGATAATATACAGTCGAAACTGCTCTTGCAACCACCTTTTCAAGGCAAGCACCTGTGCAAAGGACTACTTCCCACTTTCCCCCTTGTATTTTTCTTTGTACATGTATTACAATGACACTGTCCAAGAGGTCCACCTGTCTAAAACAACCACTTTTCTCTTCAACAATGGAGGGCCATCCTGGACAATTTCACTTGTATATCCATTGGTATGTAGCTTAGATGGTTTATCTCCATGCAGCTTTATTTACACATGAGGTTAAAAGCTGTATAATTAAACTATCAAAGACCACTGTATCTCAGATTTCATGTTGATATTTCATACATTTCAATTTGTTGAATTCTTGCACCATTTGCTGAGAGGATTAGAACATTTTGGGGAGTTGGACAGTTAATGCCCGACACCATTGATAAATTAAGGTAAATATATGTATGCTACAGTGATCTTTTCTTTTGAAAGCATTTTTTGTTACTGGTTTGTATTCCAAATGTGTCTCTTTTTTCTTTACTTTCAGTGAGCTGTGTGGAAAGAAGCGATCAGATGATGATCCAGACGAGTCCAAGGAGGTAGAACCACCTTCGAAGCTGAACACTCGTTTCTTCAGTTTCACCACGTTCTACTATCTGGTGTGTAACTCTTTTTATAATGAGAGGTCTGGTAGTTTTTCCACCTGCTTGCACAATAATTGTGTTTGTGTGTGAATGTGTAGGCGGGGGAGGTGGTTGCAAAAAAGATTGATTTTTGTGCTGAAAAAAACTCAGCTCATAATCCAGAGATCCTCAAAAGGACAGTTTGTTTTGCTTTTGTGTAAGTTTTACAGTGCTTGTAACTGTATAAGGAAAGTACTGTTAAGCATAACCAAACCCTGTGCCGTACTGGTGACTCCTGACGAAACAAAGAGCTTTGCAGTTTGAATCCAGTCAAGTCCAGATTTTGTTTGTCTTCCTTGAGAATATTGTCTCCAGGCCTGGTGTCCTATTTTGAGACAAAATGCTCAGCCTTTGGAATGACTTTTTCTGTATCTGGTAGAGTATGAAAAAAAAACTTGTAAAAAAGTTATAACTCATCATGTTTTTAACAAGTTTTGACTGTAGGCCTTCACGTAGTCTATTTTTCAATATGAATTTGATGTTCCACTATTTAGACATGAACTCTTTTTATTATGGCTTTAGAAGTTTTTAGAAGGCATTGCGTCTTTCTTTTGTTCGCAGATGTTCTTGGGAATGTCTGTGGCTGGGACTCTGTTCCATGGGTACTTCTTTGCCTTCCACTTGCTGAACATTGTCAACAACAACCAGCTCCTTGGTGGGGTCATTAAGGCGGTCACCCAAAATGGTAAGTCCCCAATTGTTGCCGCTTTTTGTATGCTCCTCGAAACAACAGTGGAGTACCAATGACAACTCAAAATAAGACTAAAAGGAAAAACAAAGATGTTTATGCTGATATCCTTGTTTCTGCAAAACCATCCATTTTGTGTGGCATGAATAAGCAGAGAGCCTATTATTTGTGGGAGTTTGTGTAATCCGCTTTATTTCCTGAGTAAAAAAAGTTCAAAATTGATGAAGTAATCATTCTCAGAAACAAGCATCAAAAGTTATCTTAGTTTTTTGTACAGAGCAGTCTGGTCGTTCTATGAAAACACAGTTATTGTTATTACATCGAAAGAAGGAGAAACTTTCAGTAGATTAAAAATTATTGATCAAGTTCAACGCTTTTGGAGGAAATCTAGGCCAGTTTTCCCTATTTCTGTACAGATTTCTTTGACTCAAGCCCAGGCACTGAAATCTTAATTTGAGTTGTCACTTGTCATTTAAAATATTTATCTGTTTCCCATGTAGCCGCATACAATGTTCTATCTATGATGCCGTATAATGACAACGTCTTCCCATCTCTCCAATGCCCCTTGTTTTATTCCTTTTCACCTCATCTGATGTATTTTTTAGGGAGGGAGTCCTATATGTCCTTTCCTACAGTGCCCAGTTTATGTTAGAATTTATTTCAAATGAGGATTTAATCATGGAAACACGGTTAAGAACAAAGGAAGTACAGTTATATTAAACATGAAGGAACAAAATTATGATTTTTTTGGACTTTCTTATAGATGAAATTCATTATTAATGGCATGACCATCATTTCAGTCTAGTTTTACAATATTGTCTACTTCCACTTCTCATTTTCCGGTCAGTTAATTTCACATCTGAAATTTGTGACCTCTCCGTTCATGCATTCCTTCCATTGCCGCAGAGTTCGTAGGTAAGTGAGCACCACTTCCGTGCATTATGATATTGAATATAATAATAAGTAATAAAAATAATGATGATAATAATAGTAATTAGTATGCATAGCGCCTTAAATCCACTAACAGTACTCAGTGATGCTCTTAGAAAATTAAAACTTCAGTCATAATTGACTGACATAACATACATGTTAAAACATTTATATAAAAGGCCTATTAAATTGAAACAAGCAATATGATAGAAATAACATAACACAGAAGTCGTCACATTGTTTAAAAATCATGTCGTCAATCATCGCACTATACAATTTGAATTTGAGAATGTTCTTTTTTTGGAAAAACTCTCCTTACTGTTTCGTGTGTTGGTAGATGAAGTTTCCCATAATTTTAGAGCAGCAATTGAAAAAAGATCTTTCCTCAAAACAAGTTGAAATATTAGGTGTTTTTAATCAAATGGAATCAGATGACTTCAAACTCAGGCTTATACAACTCTTGTAAACAAGATGGTCCCAAGTTATGCAGACATTTACAAGAGTAACATGCAATCTTTAAATCTATTCACTTTTCTTGGCTACTTTGTTCTGATTTTTTTGGGTATTCTGTGGATTAAATAAGATGGTACTGCAGGTGGTTGGAGGGAGCCAGTGGTAGGTCCTACTTCTTTTCTCTCCATCTGCCGTTTCCATCTATCTGTCTTGCTTCTTCCTTGCACTGTATGACTGTCATTGTGTCAATGTGCTTCTTTTAACTTAAAATCAGATGGTACTCCTGTCAAAAGTGCATTTCAGTAATCTAGATGCCTATTAATAAATCAATGGACAAGCATGTGGGTAGTGTCAGTATTGATGACAGTTTGTATTTTCCCTATATTTCTCAAATAGAAATGGCAAGACTGGCAAACTTTTTAAATATCATCTTTCATGTTCAAGTGACAATCAAAATAAAACCCAAAATTACTTACATTATAATAGGTCTTAAGATAAATCTCTACCATCAAAATTGAGAGATTTTTTTTACAGGTATTATGTTATTTTGTTTTTGCATTTCTTTGGAGGAGAGGAGCATGCCCTCAGCATTTTTTTCGTATAATTTCAATGTAGGCCTATTTCTTGTCATCCATTTCTTGGTGTCTTTCAGACAATGGTCAGTGAAAGTAGAAATGTATGTAATGTTGTGAAATGATATCCATTTGAGGAGCAGTGTGTATATGTGTGTATATATACATATGTCAGGCACATGGTGGAATCAGGCTTTCGTCAATTTTGGGGCATGTAGAGTTATTGGTATCATCTTCAAGCTTGTTCACTGATCTTTATTTGGATGGGGAAAAAAATCCGTTTATCTTCAATACAAGTCGAGATATAGGCGAATGATTGAGGCGGGGGTCACCTGTTTTCAGAGGTAAAATTAGTGAGAAAATGGCCGCCAAAGAGTAGTTATTTCCTTAGCTTAAGAGTCCGTGGAAACTGAAAATTTACATTTTTTGTGCCTTTAATCAATGTTTTTCAGAACAATCCACGCAGAAATGAGTTCTTTAATGGGCTTGAAAGGTGCTGAGCCAAAAAACAAACATTTGATAAAAATGCAAAAACCTGCTGAAAAATTCAAGTTTCTTCACTTTGATTATTTTGACAAGAGCCTGGTTCCACCACGCTGCCTCACATATATTAAAAAAAAAAAAAAA